GCACTAAGTCACTAAGATGGTAAGAAAACAAAGAAAGCACTGAGCTACAGAAAGAGACGTAAGGAGAACACAGAAGACAGTTATGGAAACAGCCAATTTTCTGAAGTGACCAAAAAATATCAAGTTCCAGACATAAGAAATGTTCAGGACTACCACCCAACTAATCCGAGCTCCTACCTCCAGCCCCTGTAAGCATGAAAAACAAACAGTATCGGCACACATCACGGCATGACTACGCTGTGGTCTGGAATCACCTTGCAGAAAACCGCTTGGCCTGTGTGCTCAGTTCTTTCTAGCAGGCCCCGAGATGAGGCTAATAGGCGGAAGGTGACCAGTCTCAGAGGGACAACATGGGGCCCCGTGTTGACTGGCCCCCGAGAGCATAATGTAATCTTTCACAGCCATATGGTGAGGCCAACAAGAGTTCTCAACTCTGGGACTCAGATGAGTTCCTAGTTTGATGACCACGAATGAGAAAAGGCTGGAACCCCTCCCAAACTTCATGTCACCCATCTCTCCATTTGTACCATAAAAGGTACCATAAACTGTCATAAATCTGTAGCCTTACTCGGCGGATACTGCAAGTCATTCCAGTAATTCATGAACCTATAAGGGCCACAGAGAGCCAGCAAGGGCTGGCACCTGCATATTTGGCAATCTGAAAGAGGTGCCTCTTGACTTGTCAGCTCTTATCTAAGGCTAGGTGGCAAGGGTCAGAGAACTGCTGCACAGGCAGCTGGTCTAAAAGTAGGTGTCCATCTAAATTGTGCCCCAGCTTCAAACGGCCAAAGTTGAAGAGTATGTCACTTGAGTGGCTGGCGATGAAGGTAAAGAAAAGGGAAGGTAAGACCTGGATCCACCCCTACATTTTATTTTATCTCATCCCCCCCACCCCTACACACACACAGTTTAGAGAGGGGATTCAAGCCGATTTTTACTACATACTTGGTATCAAAGTGGGATTTCCCCTATTACTTAGTGCAACTACTGAAAACTGAAGATAGGAAAATATTTTAAAAGCAGCTTAAGGTGAAGACATCATAGTACTTCTAACAGTAAGAATATGAAAAATAACTTTTCAAAACAAACAATATGTGGGTAGACTTAAAAATGGACCACCAGAGATACAGTGACCTCTTAATCCCCCAAACCTGTGAATACTGTCTTACGTGACACAAGTTGTAAAGATCACATTAAGACAAGACTCTTCATAAGCGGGTACATATCCTGCTTTACCTGAGTAAACCCTAAATGCCTTCACACGGACCCTGAGAGAGAGGCAGAGACTTGTGGGACAGGCACATATGGAGAGGAAGGTGATTTGAAGACGGTTCAGAGAAAAGGTTTGAACAATGCCGAATACTGATGTCTCACACAGCCAAAGCAGCGGAAGAGGCAGGAACAGATTCTGCCTTAGAACCTCTGGGGGCAGGGTAGCTCTCCCGAACCTTTCATTCCCGAGACACTGGGCTTCTGGACTCCACAACTGTTAATAAGTGCCTTTCTGGTGTTTCCCCTTGCAGTGTGTGCTAGTTTGTTGCAGCAGCCCTAGGAAACTAATGGCAGTGAAGTGAAAGGACATGATAGGGCTCTCCTATCCACTGTCTTTGGAACTCCACCAAAAGTCGAGAGCTGATCATGCAAACAAGGTGTACAAGACTCTAGCGCGAGGTGATTAGACAGCTTTGCCGTTCTGAGCCACCTGAGAAGAAAGAAGTGAGAATCCTACAACCAGCAAGAAAGAAGAGAGAGCCACCAGAGAAGCAAAGCCAAGACCGTGGTCTCATAGAGAAGAGCAGAAGAGCAGCAGCTAGAACAGTGGTTCTCACCTTCCTAAGGCCGCGACCCTGTCACACAGTTCCTCATGTGGTGGTGACGCCCCAACCCTAACATTATTTTCGTTGTGACTTCATCACTGTACGTTTGCCACTGTTATGAACTGGGCGACCCCTGTGAAAGGGTCTAAGGGGTCGTGACCCACAGTTGAGAACCGCTGAGCTAGACTGAGGCAGAGCAGTGGGCTTCCTAACCCACAGGGGGAAAGCTGAGTCCTTTTAGGCCCGAGGCTGGCTTGGAGAAGGGCTGCCCGCTGGGCATCTATCTATCAGTGCGAAAGGAGTTTCGTAACACCTGCTCCAGTGGGACGCAAGTCAGAGGTCTGCATGGCCGAGGGGCTGAGAACCACAGACAGTCGTGCTTGGCAGCATGGCTGAGAGGAGGAACAAAAGGACTGTATCCTTCCGGTTTCTGATACTGACTTGTACATGATGACCTGTTAAATTCCCCAACAGACCCCTAATTATGAGTGCTGTCTGTGAGGTCTGATGTGGTCACTGTAATGGACAACAGAAGCCAGCAGAGAAGTACAGTGCTGGGGAACAGAGGGTTGGTATCCTAATAAGATAAAGAACAACAGCGGGTGGAGGCATGTCTGACTGCTGCGCAGGCGTCATCCGTGGACTGACGTGGAATTGGGCGTTCCTTTCCTTCCGTGTAGCTACAGAAAGACCGACATGGCCCCCATGCCATTTCTTCACTAAAGCAAAATGAAAGCCACAGACAGTAAATGATATCTTTAAGGTGCTTAAACAATCCACCTGTCACTCCAGAATTCTATATTCAGGAAAACTCTCCCCAAAAACAGTGGCAAAATGGGAATTCTACACTGAGTGAATTCATTACCAATAAACCTACGTGACAAGAAATACTGAACGGTTAGGCAGGACGTGAAATCAGAAGAAAACTCAGAATTTTAAGAAGCGATGAAGAGTAAGAAAAAGTTATTCACAAATTAATAATGTCAAATTGACAATGCTACCCTGAGTGTAAAATACAAGGAGGCTTCAAAAAGTTTGTGGAAAAAATGGAATTAAAGGCATTTAATGAGACTATTCCACAAACTCTTTGAATGCCCCTCACACATATAAAAATAAAATTGTGAAAACAAGAAAGTGGGAGGGAGCAGAAATGGAGTTAGAATTTTGGTGCTCCAAAATTATTAGGAGAATGATCAAAGTAATAACTTATATTAATAGTGAAGTCAAAGATACACGGTGTGAAGTCTACTGTTACATCTAAAAGAATAAAACAAAAACTGAAAACTAGTAGCTGAGGGGAGAGGGAGTGGGATAATAAAAATACTTGCTTAATCAAAATAAAGCAATAAAGGAAAGAAAAGGAAGAATAAAGCAGTGGGACAAAAAGAAAACAAATAGGAAGACTTTAAATGTACACAGAAATCAATGAGTAATTATAGTTTATATAATGGATTAAATTAATTAAAGACTGCTTCGGATATATTCAGATCACACCAGCTCCTGCAATATGCTCTTCTGTAATTGTGCGCATTTTCCTAGGCAGATATTATAGCTCAATGATTTTTTAAATTACAGTGGACTTAAAGCAAAACAGCCATGTACATGAACAGGAAATACTTAAACATACTGATACAGACATGTTAAAAGTGAAAAGGAAAAAGATGAACCATGCAAACACCCACAGAAAGAAATCTGATC